CACACTGAGTTGCTGAAATTGTAACTCAGTTGTATAACAAGCCACTGAATTGTAACTACTGTGAAATTCCAAGCCACTGAAGCAATAGTGGTGAAATATTGTTTGTATTATTTTGGGTCTCAATAGTTGTAGGGAGCAATATTTTTGTTAAATTTTACATTTTTGTGTTATATCTTGCATCCACAGCAAGGATTAAGGAAAGACGATAACTCACCTTAACACAAAAAGATAACATCTACAGGTAAGCAGTTATTTCTAAATAATCAAATCCAGTAGTTAGATATCTGGTAGTTAGATTATAGATATATAAAGTAACTATTATTCCTTTTTTATTAAAGAAATATTCACTACAAAAGCACTGTTAAAAACACAATCTAAGAATATTTTACAGTTTAAAGTAACAGAAGTTATACATTTAATTTAGGACATTAATTTAAAAATGATATTAGGATAATTAACTATACATTTAAAAAACTGCAAAACGTATGTTTTGGTTGTTTGTGATATTAGTTATGAATTTTAAAAAATCTTTTTCACGTTAGGAAATTTTTTTTTTTCAGTCTTTTTTTTTTTTTTTTTTTTTTTTTTTTAAAGCACTTACCACATCATTTGGCGAGTTTTTAATTGTAAACACAGAATGACTTAGGTGAACTCTCCCATGTTCAGATGCCTGGGTAGTTGCTCCATTCTGTATAGAACTGCACTGGTAGGAGAACATAACACAGAATTGTGGCTAACATGATGGTGTGGAAAAGAGGGAAAAGGCAAAAGTCACTTCCGAAGACATGAAGTCATCCAAACAATGATATACATCCAGAGTGAAATTTGTTGGATCAAATGCAGCATTTCATATGATGAGAACATGAAATACGATAAGTAATTAATGAATGAAGTAGCAAGAGACCACTTGGGAGCGTGACAAATGTCCAACACCATGTAAGGCATCCAGGGATAGACTTGAGGACAAAAATTTGTAGAGGGTGTAAACAGTAGCCAGAGAGGCATGGCTATCTGTCATGTGCAGTGGAAGAAGTTCATGAGAGTCTGGAAAAAAGAGTGTATTAACAAGCATCGGAAGGGACTGGAGATTATAAAGAAATCAAGCACTTTTGAATAAGTTGGCTGAAAGACAGTATTAACATAAGCAAATGTTTATGAGTTTTGAAAACATTCCAGGGATTTCAGCTAAATTACATCAATCTCCTTCACTTTAGCATCTTTTCTATATTTATTCACTTTTGAAGATTTATATCAATCTAAAAAACTTCATGTATTTATAATTTATAGAGGAAATTGCTAATTTATTAATAGTATGAGTATTAAAAATAAATATGAAATGATATGGTCATTGCTGGTACCAGAATTTTAAGTGCTGAGGAACAAAATTTACGGGTTGAAAAATTTTAAATTTCAAACAGGCAGCAGAATTTAAGAGGTGAAAAAAATTTTAGAATTTAGGGTGGCACTGGGCAGCAGAATTTAGGATACACAGAGCTTGGCACCAGATAGCTAAATGCCCATCCTTGGCCCTGTGTATGGTGAACCAAGATATATAAGATGAATCTTTTAAATTCTCAGTTTTCAATTTCTTTATTAATAGAATAATTCCATTGTACAGATACCTGGCCTTGAGACAATATTAGAATCATTTTTGGAATTTTCCACATTTATGTCTAGTTAAAAAAGAGAAAAAAAAAAAAGAGAAGATAAACATGCTAAGAGAAGGACTTAAGGGGTTAAAAGTAGAAAATTTACACAATTTTGTTTCCACTGTTCCTCCAAGTGAGAAATTTATCACAAGCTCCTTATAAAAGATGTCTATTACATTTTAATACCATGAACACCTTCTTTCATTCTACCACATTTTTATGAAATATTTTAAAATTCTATGTCTAAAAACCTTGCCTTCAAATCCTTGCGAGGTGCAGGGTCTGAATTCTGAAAGAAAAATTATCCCTACCAACTCTGTAACAGCTGAAAGCCAACATATTTTTGAGGACAAAATTCAGAAAAGAAAAGCGTTAAGTGAATTTTACAGACTAAACTGAGACATTTGAATATTCTGAAACAATAAAATATAAAAATAAACATAAAAATAAATATACATAAAATAATACATAAAAATAAACTCTTACAAAAATACAAAAGAAGATAAACTAATTTTAAAATAATTACACACTTTTGTTTTTACTAAGAAGTGTTTTGGAAGCTGTGATTTGAAACACTTATTACCTTATTTATTTTTCAGAATTTAGATATTCTTAAGTCACCACAATGGAAATTAATGTCACTTTAAAATTTAAGAAGGAAAAACGAAAATGTTTTATTTTAATATTATTTCTTAAATATAACTTCAATATAGTATCATTATTTTAATGTTATATATCATTGTTTATAAAAAAATTTTTTAAAGTAAAAAAATTCACAACTCTGCAAATCAAAATTTTGTATACAAACTGATCTGAAAAATTTCCGAAATGTTGATATGTTACCAAATTTAGTGCTGCGTAACAAATATATTCATTTCCCAAAAAGATCCAAACCCAAAATGATTTTTGATATAATATTTTATGAACTCTTCATTTAAAAAAAAAAAAAAATCAAAATATTTATGTTTCAATCATGGTAAGGACTCATGCCAAGAAATTTGATTATTGCACCCTTTATATTAGAAGCAGGAATGAATCCAAAAGATTACCTATCAAATATATATTTGTAAATGAATTACCAAACAATAATCCTCCAAAATGTTAATTTCACTCAAAATGTCAGTTTAATAAACATAGAAATGTCAGATGAGCAAAATTAAGTACCTTTTAACAGTTTTTGCAGAAATTAAGGACTTTTAAGGACCAAAAATCATTTCTAAAAAACCTCAAGAACTTTTAAGAACTGTACAAAGCCAGTTGTTATATAAATCAGTGTAATGGTGGTCGCTTAAGTGCCTCCATAGTAAAATGGGCACCACTTCTGGCTTTAGTAGTGACCAATGCTGTTAAAGGCAAGTGGCCACCACTAGAAAAAAATATATACAGTGAAATATGTTTAACGTGAAAACGCTTAAGATGAAATATTGGTTAACATGAATAATACCAATGGTCCCAACAAACTACTACAGTCAAAAGTCGTTAATCCGGACTCGTCGGGACTTCAGCGATTCCGGATTATAAATCATCAGTTTAAATCTGATAAGATGGCATGCAAAAATTATAAAATTAAAAATATGAAACCGTAATTTATGAAATAAAGAACAATTATGATCTAAAGGGTATCAAAATTTACCAAAAAAAAAAAAAAGCTTAATATTTATTTGCTTACTTTATTAAACATTTCTTTCAATGTAAGTTGTTCAAGTTGCTTCGTTTTATGTGATAATACTTTCTCTTTAATTCTATAAACAGACATAATTTCTTGTTCAGTTACAAAGTTCCGCTGTTCAAGTCCTATAAGTGCTGTATCGAGAATACCGACTAATTTGTCAATCGAAATTTTTTCGTTTTCAATAACCTCTGTGTCACTTTCTTCACTATCGGAAGCGAATTATAATGACAAGGAATTTGATTTAAATCATATCAAAGACGGAGTACATTGAGATGAAATAATACATTTAGTAAGGAATTATAAGCCAAATAAAATAAAAACATCTGCCCTGAAGATAAGTATAGTGCTGATAGACCAACTTCCAATTCATTGCGCACCGCGGCGTTTTCTCCCCACCATGATAATGTGTGTACAGTACCAATTATGGCAGACAAAGACATTTTAGAGTTTGTTGAAAGCTAAAAAAATATCATTGATGCAGATTCCAACAATGAAAATGAAATAATAATGAAGCTACTGCTCCCATGTCATCCGAAATGAGAAACACCATTAAAAGTATGCGCAGTTAGATGCTCAATGGTGAAATGAATAACAAAATGGACAATATTGAACAATTTGTTGACAATTTGATGCTAGAAAAAAAAAAAAAAAAAAAAAAAAAAAAAAAACAATGAAAAGAAAAATATTAGATTATTTTACAAAAACTCAATAAATACTTTGTTTTTCAAAAAACTTCAAAATTTTGTAATGAATTAAGTTCTTGTGGATGTTTTGGTTTAATTGATTTTTAATATATATACTTGCATATATACATATCTATGTAAATAAAATGTAATCTAATAAGGTTAATTTTGTTGAATATATGTTTTTTCTTTGCAATATCCTTTAACACTGAGGTGTATTTCAGTCCCCTCAGTTTCATGTTAAACGATTTTCACTGTATATAAGTCAGAGTTAATATTCTTTCTGGAGAGGGATTTCTCTGGATCAGAAGTTTTTAAACAGATATTTTGATCGTTTCAGAGAAAAAGATTTTGTGGTTTGTTGATGCAAAACAAAGAAGACAGCCTTTAACTAATGTAATATTATTCAAAACAAATCTTATCTTAAAAATGCCTAAAACCATCATATGAAAAAAACTAAAAAAAATATTTAAGTGATAAAAATGAAGGCAATTCTTTGTTAAAGCAGCCACCACATAAGCCTCTGCAACACTTGAAGTTTACACCTTGCAGATATAATGCTTATACCCGTATTTGCCAGTTTTAACAATTAAGCACAGTGGCTGCTTGATAAAGAAGTGACAAAATAAAATGACACCCACTTAAATGCACAAGATTTAACTGACCAACAGAAGAAACTAAACATTAATATGCTAGTATATGCAGGCAGAAATCACAAAGAAAACTTTGAATTTTGCCATATATAACTTTCAAATAACTGTAAAAATTTAAAATATTATTCAGTCTAGCAAAATCAAGAATTACTCAGATAAAATATATAAAGCTGTAAGTTTGCAGATTATTTATTATACCAATTAATGACACTAATATGGAATATTTTCTACAATATATTAATTAAAATTTTAAATTGGTATCAATTACAATCAATAAAAATACAAAACAGCATTAATTTTGGAAATTAAATTTTAAAAATATTTATATATTTCAAAAGGATACAGTGCAAGCTTCATTGATCCCTACAAACATAGCAATGCATCTTAAAACATGTGACCATTCTTGAGATCTCATATGCTGGTCATTAATTTTATGCTCCAAGAAAGGGCAGATTAATCCAACAAATGCTAAAAGGTAATAAAAAATGTGCTTATTTAATATGAATTATAGTTAAAAGTACTTTTGATTTAAATAGAGCTATAGTGACACCTTTCTAAGTTGACCATCAATGATTTCAGACAATTTTTTGTTCTGTATAGATGTTGCTTGAGAGTATATAACTTTCAATAATATTCCATACTATAATTTATTTATATTTGGTCACTTTCATAGGTGATTACCATGAAAGTTCTCACTGTACTTCTAACTTTCATAACTGCATACTAGCTTTTGTAATTTAAGGAACAAACAGAATTAATTGTTAGAATAACGCAATATTACAAATCTACATTCAAAAAAACTTTCCAGTATATCGTAAAACAAAAATTAGTGAAGATAGAAAAGATTCTGATATAATGTAAAGCTACAATTGAAGCTTCATTGATATAAATAATAATTCTATTCAATTTGCTTATGAACATTAACCCTTCAGCACACGCGCATCGCTGCGTTACGTTAGTACATGTGCGGGACAAATTTTATCCCAGTGTTTGTTTTTCGGAGTTCACCTCCCAAGGTATAAATAAATGCATTTTCTTTGTTTTAAATGAATGTATAAATGACTAATAGCTTTGTGAATTCTGTTAAACCTTTTTTCCAAGTTTAATTCGAGATAATCTTACTGTAAGTTATACAAACATTTCCATACTGATTATTACCTAAAGTAAGCCATAAAAATCGAAATTTATGCAAAATTACTAAGTTATATAAGATACATACCGTATATACCCTGTATAAGTCGAGATATTTTGGACAAAAAAAAGACTTCAAAGTGGGGGGTCGACTTATACGCGGGGCCATAAAAAATTAAAAGAATCAGAAGTTCAAAATTTCTCTATATAATGCAGTTGTTTTCTTCCCGCCTCAAATTGGATGACTTATCAAATAAGTCTCTTACTTGAAGTAATTTCATGACTTAAATTATGTGACGAACTAATCACAGAGTTTCATACTTTAACTAGAGTAAGTTTCGATTAAACCAAAGAATTTTCGGGCCCGAACAACCTATCAATAACGAGCAATAAAAAAGTTTCGCCAACACTCCAAGAAAAGAGAAATGCAGATAGTTTTTACTTACGTATAAATCTTTATAATAGTTATTGTTCATTCATGAAATACTTTTGTTAACAGGCGTACACGTCAAAATTTAAATTGATCATTTTTAAAAGAAAAACTTTACCGAAAAACGCTGTGTTTCCAGATGATTTCTGAATAAATGTAACTTTTAAAAAAAAATTTTTTTGAAGTTTCTCGATCGATTTCGGAAGTGTGTGTGTGTGGGGGGGGGGTCGACTTATACGCGGGTTTCTTATTTTCTACGAATTTTTTATGTCGAAGTGGGGGGGGGATCGACTTATACTCGGTATCGACTTATACGCGGGTATATACGGTATATGATTTTTCATATTACAAAAATCACTTTTCATATGTACATATTTTTTAAACATAAGTGTTTATTACAAAGAGTGGTTTGATAAAGCACCAGAGGAATATGAAAAGGCTGCATTCTTACTAGCTTTTTTCCTTAAAACTCAATGTAATGTCATACAATTATTCATATCAAAGAATAGATTCTAAATACGAATACTAAAAAGTATAAATAACACATAGACTTTCCGCCCCCTCTCCTACCTGAGTTTAATTATTCAAATAATCTCCTTTTGAACAATCCTCACATAGTGTGACAACATATTTTTACAAACAATTTCTTAGGGTGAAGGTCTGCTGCATCTTCTATTCCTGCCAACCTTTTTACTCCAGTTTTGAGTTCTTTCGAGAGAGATAGAACTGCAGTCATTTTTGGGACATTTTCTTTTACAAGCTCTAATGCTAAATCTTTGAGTAAAGCTCTTCGATTCATATTCACTTGGTCGTTGATAAATAATAAAAACATTTATACCTGCAATGTTCATTACTCCAAAAAATACCGTTAGAGGCCAGCGGCGGCATTTTCTTGAAACAGACTAAGTTCTACATAACTTATCAACAGTATAAACATCACCTTTTGTAGAGTTGCAAAAAGTTATCATTTTGAGCTTGAGCTGCTCTTTAGAGAATGAATCGATTTGATTATGCTCATGCATGGATGATAGAACAAGAACCGATTTACTCTTTTTTTGGAACACATGAAATAACAGTTAATTGTTTACCTCTAAACCCAAAATATGAAGAGTACAGAAACCTGTTCTATTTGGCAGAAATTCTTCTACAATTTCACACTTATCTTATCAAAGTGTTCCAAAACCTATCAGTTTGTGCTTTTCAATAATTCATTGCCAAAGGAATGCTCATGTACCAATTGTCCATAGTTATATTTCTTTCAGTGTCACTTATGGGTGCAATAAGTCTTTGTACAACATCCAATGTCACATTTGATTGTCTATTTAATCCGACGGGCGGATGACCTGCATAAATTTCTAGGTTGTATGCGGAAAATGTATGAGAATCGCACAAAGGAAAAGTTTTTATTCCATATCTTGGGAGCTTACTTTTTATATATTGTCTGAATTGACACCTTTCTCGAAAGGGTTCTAATTTTTCGTCTATAGTACAATATTCATATAAAAAATATGTTTTTCGCATGTTTTTGACAAATATTTCAAAAACATTTCAAATAAGTGCAAGTCTAGCCGTCATCTTTCGCTCTGCTCGTAAATTTATATCATCAAACCTAATACACATCAACAGGAAATGGAATCGGTTGACAGACACTGTTATTTGAAAACAGTTATTCCGCTTCCATCAGCTGACCACAAATCTTTGCTTTGAGAAGTGCTGCTCTCAGCACTCCAGCATAATATAATAGGAAAAACAATGCCTTCAATTCAGCTACATTCGTCTCTTGTGCATTACGCTCTCTAAAGAATTTGTTTCTTATTGATGAAATGTAAATGTCTGTTGATTTCACCAAATCTTCCATTATTTCTTCATCAAAAATTTGCAATAAATACTCAGTTGGATTTTTCAAATTTCTAAAGCTTTTCTTGACACCAGGTAAATGTGTCACTATATTGTACGGCCGTGTCCGAACTTTCCTTGAGGGTAATTTTTTACTTCAAATTATTCCATTATTTCAAACATAAAAATTATCTGATGTCAAAGAAGATTGCTCCCTAAATCATGTGAATCATCAGTGAATCATCATATTATTGTCAGAATCAGTTTCGTGATCACTTTCAGAAATATTATCGCACTCAGAATCGGAATCTTCAATATCGCTATCGGTTTCAACACTAGCGAGAAGAACCCGCAGTCATTACTGTTCTCGCTCGTACGCACTCATCTCAATTAATGTCTCCCTGGAAGTGAAACGTTAGTACACGCGCGGGGTAGCTACAATCCCGTTGCACATGCCTTCCCCGAAAACACAAAAATCCCATGGACACGGGAAAAATTACTTTGGACGACCACTTCCTAACTTTGATCTTGAAAGGTACATAAAGTACTAGAAAGGTCACATACGACCTTCCTTTATTTTCTAAGAAAAGACTAAATGTGGTTTGGGGTGGGTTTTACCCCAGCGCGTGTGCCGACAGGTTAACTGGATTTGACTGGGTTAACTGGATGAATGTATATCGGTAGAATTCTAAATTTGATGAAAATTTGTTTTAATTACTGCAGGAATTTAAAAGCACTTATTAATTCATTTACTTCATTTGCATGATTCTATGATTCATCATTTGATTACACAAACCAAAGATATTTTCAAAAATCATCTCTTTACTGTAAAATCTAATGAATTTTACTGTGGATTAATGCCAAACAATGATAATGTACTATGTATTACTTCTCTCACTTTGACATTCTGATATATCCATTCTTTTTTAGTACAGTCAAAAGTCGTTAATCCGGACATCAAAGCTACAAACTTTCTGCGCATGCGTCAACTCGACGCATATACCTTTACGCATGTGCATATGCGTGTACGCATGCACATTATAACGGATGGTATAAGCTAAGCTAAGCTAAAATTATCTAATTATCTATTTCAGTTAATGTTGCAGATTGTGTTGTTCCTTAATCTTCGAATTGGAACCGGCTTATTAATTTTTTGCAGACTGTTAGAGGAATTTTATAAAATTAAGTTGGAACTTTTGATTATGTCAAATACGGTTTCCGATGCTGGATCTACAAAGGGAAAGCATGTTTCGATGTGCATCAAACAAAAAGTGGAATTGCTGCAAAAAATGGACAAAGGCTCCTTTGTTTCTCTAACCATTCCCAAATCTGTTTATCAATTTCACGCTGCTCTGCGCGGGCAAGGGGGGGGGCGGCGTGGCACTCAATGAACTGGAAGTTGATCTGTCAGCACAATCCTTATCTTCAGGGCAGATGTTTTTATTTTATTCGGCTTATAATGTAGTATTTCATCTCTATGTACTCCATCTTTGATATGATGTAAATCAAATTCCTTGTCATTATAAATATCATGAATACAAATCAAATAGCTTTCTGGTTGCAATTTTCTAATTTCGACTATGTGTAATGTATGCTTTATGCATGTGCACGTTGAAAAAATGTTTAATAAAGTAAACAAATAAATATTAAGCTTTTTTTTTTGAAAATTTTGATATCCTTTAGATCATAATTGCTCTTTATTTCATAAATTATGGTTTCATATTTTTAATTTTATAATTTCTGCATGCCATCTTACCAGATTTAATCTGATGATCTATAATTCGGAATCGCCGAAGTCCTGAGGAGTCCGGATTAAAGACTTTTGACTGTATATGATCAGAAAATCTAAATACAGTGCATAACTAGAAATTATTTCATCACACTTTATAAATTTAAATGTAAGCTTTTTCTTACTTTTGTACCTAGAAAATGTTATTTAGGTTTCACATACATTTTCAAATCATATGCAGTTGTTATTTGCTTGTGAATAATACAGTGCATTATTCACAATATTCATAAGAAATGAGTGAATTCAAAGTTTTTTTGATTTCTAATTTGCATTAACAGCCGA